ATACCCTCTAGGTGATAGTTCTTGATTACTTTTTGATAAATAATTCGTTCTTATTGCGAAATAGGAGCACTATTTATCAATCTGTAATAAAAGTCATGAGGAAATTCTGTCTTTTTTAAAGACAAACATTTTTGAGGCGAAATACTCAAAAAGAAGTTTGTAAAAAAATGAATCCGCCTCAACAATATAAAACTTTTCTATTCTGAATTCTATACAGGGTGTCCCGCAAGCACATGATCAGTGATTGTTCAGTTCTCGAACAAACTGAGGGTGCAGGAAAAACACCGAAACGTTCTCAAAACATTAATAATTTGTGAATTCTGAAACCCAGGAAAAAAATAGCTTACGAACCTTCGGTCCTAACAATCCTCTTTCGCCTTTAGGTCCCGGCAGACCGATCAGTCCTGGTGGTCCAGGAAATCCTTGAGGTCCCAAAGGCCCAACCTGCAAGAAACCGCAAAATCAAATCCGTGCACTATCTCGAGGAGTTCCGTTTTACCTGCCCTCTGTCTCCAGGGTTCCCTTGCGCTCCGGGTTCTCCCGCAAGGCCTGGAGGTCCTGGTTCGCCTGGGGCGGCTGGTTCCCCTGGAGGTCCCGGAGGACCAGCAGGGCCAATCAATCCACGCTCTCCTTGTCTCCCTATTAAATCGGGCGGCCGTTTTCCCCATGTTTTATTCATTTTCCGAAGACTCACCTGGAGGTCCCTCAGGGCCCACAGGACCGTAGCTGCCTCTTTCCCCTTTTTCTCCTTGCTGGCCTGGTTGGCCTCGCAAGCCCGGCAGACCGATTAATCCCGGTGGGCCTTGGTGGCCTTTCATTCCTCTTATTCCCGGCACCCCCTAAAGCAGGCCAGATTTAGCTGGGAAAGTTAAGGGAGTTTGCAAATTACCGGGGGTCCATCTGCGCCTTGAGCTCCGGAAGATCCCTTCGGTCCAGGTCCTCCCGGTTGTCCCATTGGGCCTCTCTCTCCAGGGAATCCTCGTTCTCCCCTAGATCCAACTGCTCCAGGAGATCCTGGTGGGCCCTGCAAGCCGACCTCTCCGTCCTTTCCAGGTTGCCCAGGGTTTCCGGGCGATCCGGGAATGCCCTGGGGTTATTCTTGTTGTTAGGCAGGCCAAAATCGGTGGTTTTGTGGGTTTTACCTGGAAACCTCTTGGTCCTGCCACTCCAGGCGGGCCCCTTTCGCCGTCATTCCCTGAGGGTCCCGGAGGACCCTGGAGGCCTGATTGTCCGTCCTTTCCAACATCCCCTCTAGGGCCTGGGGCGCCCTGCGGGCCTTGTTCTCCATCTTTGCCAGCTTCGCCCTAAATTACAAGATTTTTTGCTTTCTAAACGAGTTTTAGATTTGATGGAAATATTGAAAAATCCACAAAAATTGTTTGGCATTTTATTTCATATAACTTACGGTTAGTCCTTTATCTCCGGTAGGACCAATCGGGCCAGGGATGCCCTGGATTCCCTGGATTCCCGGCTCCCCAGGCTTTCCATCCTGGCCAGGCAGCCCTCTGTCGCCTGGTGGGCCTGATTTTCCTGGGGGCCCAGTCCTACCATTAAAGCCCCGAAGCCCTTGAAGGCCTACGGCTCCAGTTCTACCCACTTCTCCCTGTGATCCCTTCAGGCCTTGAAGTCCTTGGAAGCCCCGTTCTCCGGTTTGCCCTAAATTTCGGAAAGTTTTCAGCAATTAAATGAGCTCCAAGAGAAGTAGCTCCATACCTTTAGGCCCTGGCGCTCCATCCGGTCCTGGCAGGCCGGTAATTCCTGGTAGACCGCGCTCTCCTAGGGGACCTGTGGGGCCCGGTGGACCCCTATTTCCCCGCCGACCGCGCTTTCCTTCGGGGCCAGTGAGACCTGGAAGGCCTCTAGGCCCCAGAGCGCCTGTTTCTCCTTTTGATCCCGATTCGCCCTTGTAGCCTCTCTCACCAGGCGGTCCCTAAATATAACGGTAGAGTCTTTATGAGTGGCTGTATCAACAATGGGCCTCAAGTACTTGTAGTCCTTTGGCTCCTGGTAGGCCCGGGCTGCCGTCCTGACCGGGAGCGCCTCTAGTTCCCGGAAAGCCGGGCGGCCCTAGAATTCCTGGAGAGCCAGTGGCGCCTTTTTCTCCTGGATATCCGTCCTTTCCAGGGGGGCCCGAAGGACCAGTCTCTCCTGGTTCGCCCGGTCGTCCCGACTCTCCCCTAGGTCCTTGAAGGCCTTGGCCTCCAATAGGCCCCACAGCTCCTTGATCGCCTTTAGCTCCGGGAATTCCCGGGAATCCTGGAGGCCCGGGTTTTCCAATCGATCCCTTAAAGCAGCAGATTTGTGTGGTTCTTCAGGCTGTTTTGACTGGACTTACTGGCAAGCCAGGAGGTCCAGAGACGCCGTCGATTCCTCTTAGGCCGGGAGGACCTGGGAGTCCTTCCCTGCCTCTTTCTCCTCTTGGTCCTGCGGGACCCGAAGGCCCAGTTGGCCCTACGAAGCCTTGAATCCCTTGGGCGCCCTTCTGACCAGTCACTCCTTGCTCTCCTTTTAGTCCGTCGACTCCAGGAAATCCTCGATGTCCTTTTACACCTGGAAATTTCACCGTTTTATACTGAGTGTCGCATGCAGGCCCAGTTTTACTTCGTTTGCCCGTACGATTTCGTACTAAAGTTTATTGATGGCTTATAGGCTTGCAAGTCGTTGAAAATTGCAAAAAATATCTAATATAAAGGGGTTAGAAGCAAAACCGTCCAAGTGCAATATTTTGCAAAGTGTTAACTCTAGTGTTCTCCATATTTGGTGACTAAAAAAATCAATATGACTGAACCAAAAACGCCTAGGTGCACTTGGATTGTTCTGCTCCTGAATGTATTTTCGTCAGAATATTACGAATTGTTTCAACCACTTCGCGTTTCATATATTTTACATAGAATTCACCTGGAAGCCCTGGAACGCCTGGCACGCCTCTAGTTCCAGGAGGTCCAGTGGCGCCCGATGCCCCAGTTTCCCCATCTTCGCCTCTTTCGCCCTGTGAACAACAGAAGCCATTCCAGATTTTAACTACCAAGTGATTGGTTTTATCTTACGTCCTTTCCTGGAGGTCCAGGAAGGCCTCGCAAGCCGGGGGGGCCCAGTGGACCCGATGGTCCAGGTTCCCCAATCTCTCCTCTAGTTCCATGAAATCCTTGCGGACCGGGAGGGCCCGGAGGACCTGGTTGGCCTCTCACTCCTGCTGGGCCCACTTGGGCCTGGATGTACTGGAATGGTTCAGCTAATTGAGGGATTGAAGGCCCTGAAAAGGATGTTTATAGTCGTATACGGTAGAAACACGAGCAGTCTCTCAGCATTTTTGCCAAGGTTTGAAAGCTATAAGGAAATCACCGTGAGCTGTTCAACGCCATGCAGGGGAGGCACAAAAACAGGAGTCCAAGCAAATCTTAGCTTCGTACAAGAATGGCGAAAAGTAAACATTATTCTCAGAAGGAGAAGGAGGTGAAGAGGACGCTTAGGACAGTGAGCAGGCAAAGGCTAACGAAAATGTGTATAAAACAACTATGCGTTACTCCAAGACATTCAAGTACCAAATACTAAGTCAAAAAATGATTTGAGCTGCGGTTTTGAAAGTATTTTGCACTAAAAAGGGGGGGCCAACAGGTCGATTTCTCAAAGTTTCTCAAAATACCTCGAATTCTACATCATTTTAATCAGAAAGAGACAAGGAATGCAACGAGCTAATGGAAGGACACCACGGTCTTTTCAGTTTCCAAATAATCAACATTTTCTGTCTCTTTTGAACGGATTTTGAGCGGTCGCAATCTTCAACGGACGATACCTTCCTTATTATGGTCGCACAAACTTCATATTCGTTATTGGACAGCTTCTTAGGTCGGCAACAATGCAATGAGGGGAAAAACACGTGTGTAAAATTTTTATTTTTGGCCCAAAATCTCATAAGGTCTCTTGGTCTTGGATCGATTTTTGAAAAAAATTTAACTTTCTCAAAATACCTCGAATTTTACATCATTTTCATCGGAAAGAGACAAGGAATACAAGGAGGTAATTAAAGGACACCGAGGTCTTTCCAGTTACCAAATAATCAACATTTTCTGTCTATTTTTACCGGTTTTTGAGCGGTCGCATTCTTCAACGGACGATATCTCCTTTATTATGGACCCGCAAACTTTATATTCGTTAGTGGGCAGCTTCTTAGGTCGGAAGCAATCCAATGAGGGCAAAAAATACGGTTGCAAAATTTTGATTTTTGATCGAAAATTTCATAAGGGTAACGAAGAGATCAATTTTTGAAAAAATTCAACTTTCTCAAAATACCTCGAATTCTACATCTTTTCCATCGGAAATAGACAAGGAATGCAACAAGATAATTAAAAGACGCCGGAGCCTTTCCAGTTCACAAATAATCAACATTTTCTGTCTATTTTGAACGGTTTCTGAGAAGTCGCAATCTTCAACGGACATATCTTCTTTATTATGGTCGCACAAACTTCATATTCGTTATTGGGCAGCTTCTTAGGTCGGAAACAATGCAATAAGGGAAAAAAATACAGTTGTGAAATTTTGATTTTTGATCGAAAATTTCACAAGGAGGGACCAAGAGATCGATTTTTGAAAAAATGAAGTTTTTCAAAATACCTCGAATTCTACATCATTTTAATCGGAAAGAGACAAGGAATGCAACGAGCTAATTAAAACACACCGCGGTCCTTCCAGTTATCAAATGTTACCAAATCAACATTTTCTGTCTATTTTGACCGGGTTTTGAGCGGTTGCATTCTTCAACGGACGATATCTTCCTTATTCTGGACCCACATCCTTCATATTCGTTGTTGGGCTGCTTCTTAGGTCGGAAAGGATCCAATGAGGGCAAAAATACGATTGTGATATTTAGATTTTTGATCGAAAATTTCATAATGGGGGACTAAGAGATTATAGGGTATTAGCACTTACCTTTGTCGTTGGCTTGATTGGCTGCGGCCAGTTGGGCGTAGTAAGCCGTAAGATCAGGGGCTGGACCTGGAGGTCCAGGTTGTCCAGGTATCCCCGGTAAGCCTGGAGTTCCTGGATAGCCAGTTTCCCCAGCCCGTCCTTGTTCTCCTCTTAGCCCTAGAAAGCTCCGCTGCTTCAATAGCCTTAGGCAAATGAGGATGGCGAGTACCTGTCGATGGGTAGATATCATTGTCATTTGCAGGGTTTAAGGGCCTGAGTGCTTCCAAACATCGCTCATCCGTTGAGCATTCCACTTTTCCTTCAAGGCAGGTGCAGTTTGTGCATTCCTCCGACCTCCACGTCTCAGCTTCTGAGTAAAACCTGGGAAATGTTCGGTTAGCGAGCAAGTGCAGGAGGACGAACAGGATTTTTATTTACTTTCCATCTAAATTGCACCCTAAAAGGCCCACAGGGTCTGTTGAAGGTTGTTCAGGCCTGAGTCGAGGTTGTTCATCTGGAGGCTGCGGAGTGGTAATTGTATCGCCTAAGAGGAGGATTTAGACAAATCCGTAAATCATTCACAGTTTTCTTCGCCCAAACTTTGTCTGGTCAGTGATAAATTCACAATTTTAATTTACACGGCCGTTTTAGTAATTTAGGATATTTTCGATTGTTTGCAAAGTGAACGGTGTTTTATAAACATCTCCCTATTTCTTTTATATTTTATATATTTTTTCTTTTATTTCTTTGGAAGGGAAGAATTTCTTAATTTAAGTCTGGAAAGAGGCAATGCTCCACTTCTGGGTCAAGTTCTTTTGTTTTCAAATATGGATCAAGAAATACTCTTTCGAAGAAGCCATGATTTAAATCTTCCAATTGTTTTTGCATTGCAATCGTGGACATTTTTGCTTCTGTTCTTTTAGAGGTTACTTTTACTTACTTACCTCTAACCATCTCATAATCATTATCAACAACTCCGTCACCATAGTTAACATAGTTTTCATAGTCCTCCTCATCTCCATCAATCCTCCTTTTCCGTTTTCCTCTGTTTGCGTATTTTCCATTGGTTTTCTCTGGTGGAACCTGGTCATCATCCAAGTTGATTTTGGTTGGAGCATCCGAAGAATTCACCGCCGTCCGGATTTCCTGCACAACCACTGGTGCTACCGTTGATGTTCTCAGCTTCTTGACTTTCTTCCGGCGCACCCTCGAGTCAGCTAAATGCAGGAAACTGATGGCCAGCACAGCAACCCAAAGCGCATTCGATCTCAACTTCATCCTGAAAGCCCCATGCACTTAAAGTCGCCTTTGCATCGTTATTGGACAATTAGTTGGCTTGCAGTAATATAAAAACTATAAATCTCTGTATGCATTTGGCCGATGTTGCGCTAATATAGTCCATACGGCAAATTAAACTGGCCTAAATAGACGACGAGTGTTGCACTATTTAGATAGAAATATGCAAATTAAAACCAGCCATTTAATTGATCTAACAATGCCTTATGGAAACGGGAATGTGATTTATTCACTTAGTTGTTTGCAATTATTACATTAGTTAACAGCGGCTTCTGCATGTGGCACCAATCGCGCGTCTCAAATGAGCCGCAAAGAAACTCTTGCAATTGTTGATGATAAGTCCGGGTGGAAACAATCAGTACGTTCCCGGGTCTGATTTGGTTATCGACTTTCCATTTTTTATTTGTTAAATTTTGTTTCTTAAATATCTGGAATTTATAGATTTTTTTTCAAGTTTCACATTCGTTTTACTATTGCTTTTTTGTTCAAGGAACTAAAGTTTAAATTTTTGCCCTCAGGGATAAACTGGCGCTTTAACTTGTAACGAAACTCTGCTCATGCACTACTTTTCAGGTTCGCCAGTGCCGCGCGTAAAGGGTTTAGAAGCTAATTCTTACAAAACCTCCCTTCAACATGCTTAAAGTTCGATAACTATTGTCGGCATATTGTCCATGCCCCATAGTAGATACTCAGGAAATTTGATTGAAATCGAGACCCACAATCGGAACTTATCAATTTTTTAAAATGGATTTGCATCATATTGGGAAATCGCACATTTAAAAATTTCTGTCCCAAACTGCAAAAGATTCATTGAAGAAAATGTGGCGGTTTATTGTGGACACTTCAAGGTAGAAAGTTGCAAAATAAAACTGAGTTCGAAATGCGCATTCGGATGTTATCAATTTTCTAACATCGCTTTAGTTATTTCTGCACCAAATTGAGAATTTCTGCATTTAAAGGTTCCTAACTCAAAAACCCGAAGAGATTCGACGAAAAAAGTTGTAGATGTATTTGGGACACCCTAGTGAAACAACTCGCAAAACCCGATTGAGATCGAAGGTTGGATTGGGGATTTAGAAATTTTCGAATATAGACTTTGTCAAAATCTGATTATTTCCAAATGTGCCCTTCTACATTTAAAATTGCTGAGACTCCAGCTGCAAAAGATTCATCGAAAAAGATTTGTTGGTTTATTGTGGACGCTTCGAGGTAGAAAGTTGCAAGATTAAATTGAGTTCGAAATGGGCATTCGGAAGCTTTCAATTTTTTAACATCGATTAGTTCTTTCTGCGTCAAATTGTCAATTTCTGCATTTGAAAATTTCTAACTCATAAACCCGAAGAGATTCAAAGATAAAAAAGTTGTAAGTGTATTTGGAACACCTTAGTGAAAAAATGAGCAAAACACCCGATTGAGATCGAGGGTTGGATTAGGGATTTAGAAATTTTAGAGAATATAGAGTTTGGTAGAATGTGATTATTTCCAAATGTGCACTTCTACATTTAAATGAATAAAAATTGCTGAGTCCCAAACTGCAAAAGATTCATCGAAGAAAACTTGCAGATTTATTTTGGACACTTCAAGGTAGAAAGTTGAAAAACTTGCGTCGAACTCAACAGGCACGACACTGTTGCTTGTTCTTCAATTTGTTCTTCTTCTAAGTGTCGTGGCCAAAATGTTCAGCACATCATTTCGTTTTCTTATTTAAATCGCATTTTTTCTCTATTTTCTCTATATTTCTCTATATATTCTCTAAATGGCAAACATGTTATTTAATTTGAAATACAAAGCCAAGAAAAATTTTTGAGCCAAAATCAAGTGGTGTCCCAAAAAAATTCAACGTTCTTAAGAAGCATTAGTCCTACCCATTTTTTATAGCAATTAAATTCATTTTCCGCTTAAAACCCGTGGTTAAAATCGTTTTAAAGATTATTTTCTAGACCTTCTCTATCGGTTCTTCGTTAAGCCGACCGAGATTTGCTATTAAAACTGCATTTCTGCAAGGAATTTGAGAAAAATTGCAAATTTGCATCAAGTCACTTTCATCTCACCTCGTTCAGTTAAAACACTTCATTTTACAACCATTTTTTTAAATAATTTTTTAAGAAAAACTTTATAAGACTCAATTAGAAGTGGAATTAAAAGTGGGGTAAAATAATATACCGGGTGCACAAGGTAAAAAAAAATGTTAAGACAACCTAAAACTCGATGATTTTCCTGTTTCCAATAACGCGGTGAACCGAAAAAAAAACTATTTGAAGTTGGATAATTCACAGCTTTTTTTAGAACACTTAAGGTGAAACTTTGAAGAAAATCAAATAAAACTCAATAAATCGCCAATGAAAGAGCCAAGAAATTTGCTTCCTTTCAAGTCAAATTAGGACACAAAAATCTCGTTAGGAAGCCACGGAAAACTCCCGCTGACAAGCGACTTGCAGTTATTGTAGAAAAAACATAGAAATCTTCTGTTTTCAACGCTCTAGAAAGGCAAGAAAAGCAAAGCTCTTAAACCCACAAGTTTTCTTTCACTTTAAACAAAAAATTTCTAAAAAACCCCCAACGGTTGCAGTTAAAAATTGGGTACCTTGAGAAGTGGTTCGAATCTTCATTCCAGGAAACGGGTCACTGGTTCACGCACGCACTCATAACATGGAAATTAGGGAAACCAGCCAGAAACACCCAGAGTCTGGACAGGGACTTATCCGGAACCCAAACCCGTCACTCCTTTTTAACTAAACTGCCACTGGAGGGGGCCTAATGCTAAAGTCAGCAGCCTAAGAAACGCCTAATTTACTTTTACAATGTTCATACTGGGTGTTTGGCATTTTAGTGCTTTTCCCAAATAAGCGCGGGATTTTGCAAAGTCGACTCTTGCGAGTTGGAAACCGTTTGGGGAACCTTGGGATTTCGTGCGTTAATCCTCCACATTCATAAATTCGCACCTGGACTGTTTGATTAGAATTTTTTGATTTAAACAGATTGTAATTCAGCGCTCTCTGTAGACGAACAGTTGTTGATAATTACGCATTTTTAATGACAAAACAAATGATGCGATCTAGATTATTGAGTGAGTAGGCCGTTGATCCAGATGCCAAACCTATTGGCCAATGCTCGGGATTCTTAATGATTATCACAGATTGACCGATTTGTTTTCCATACGCATCCAGATCTGTGTGATTTAACAGGAATTTTTTTATTTTATGCACTTTTCCTAGTTGAAATCATCATTGCTTATGCCAATGCCAATGGAGCAGGCCTGGAACGATTGATTTTCCTTCAGCTGCATTCTGGGTAAATCAGTGGGGTGCCAAAGCGTCTATATCCAGAAATTCCGGAGATTTGATTAAAAATCCAGAAATTGAGAAAATTGAGCATTCGTAATCATTCAGGCAGTCGCAGTTATACAATCAGCTCACCATTCTGAAGTTGTGAAATTGCAAAAAACTTAATTTTGTCGCTTTATTTTTAGGCGCCGGCTGTAGAGGACGTCGGCGTCGCGACGTTGCTCAATCCCAGTCAGTGAATGACATGAAATCGAAGGAAAAGTGCGTTTTCATTTTGCCGCTGTTTGTGGGAACATGTATGACGATGAATACTTCTCAAACCGCCACATGTTTTCTGGTAAGTACTAAAAGTGAACCGAATTGGAAATCGCTGGTTTTCCACACTTGCAGCCCCAAGAAAACTGGGCGAGTTTCACTGGAACTCTTCTTGGGTGTTGAGTTTCTGATCCCAGTTTCAATGCCGGTCTATGAAAGGCGCGAAACCAGATCCTGGGGCTCTGATTAGGGGGTTTTAAGGTTTCAATTGAGTTTTCTGGGAAATCGATTAGGAATTTTGGGGGTCGTGCCTATGGGGTTTGCCAAAGTCAAGGCGGAATTCAATGTCACCCTCATAAGAGGGAGGTTTTACTCATTTCATCCCCTTACACAATTTCTCTAGTGGGCCTCAACTTTGGCATTCAGGACTGTTTGATTCGGTTTTTTTTCGCAAATCTGGGCAGGAAAATGGAAATTTGCAAAAGAGAGTTTTTTTGACACTTTCAGATTGTTTTAGCACGCACACTGGAAATAACCTTCAGACAATCAAGGTGACTGAATTATTTTATTCTTGTTGGATCTATTCAGTCAACTCGATTTGTTTTCATTTTGCATTAAATCTTGGGGCTTCAAATTCAACTTTCATGATAATTTTTTTAAATTGTAATCTCAAAAACTTTTATATTAAAGTGAATTTTCTGCCGATAAACTTCTAACTTCTACTTTTAACTTCTTCTAACTTCTTCAAAAATGAAATTTTGCAAAAAAAATATTTTTTTCCACTCTCAGATTGCATGTTTTAATTTTTCACCTCTTTTCAGTCCACTCGATTTGTTTCCACTTTAAAGTTCAATTTTTCAACTTCAGACTCGCTTTTGATGATGTTTTTTTTGCATAGAAATTTGATAAAGTTTTATATTCAAGTGGTTTTCCTGCGTATGAACTTCTACTGTAAAACCGATAGATTTTTCGAGGATTTTTGGTTGCAGTGAAAAATAAGTTCTCCACGACGCTTCGTAAGCACGAGTAGAAAAAAAATTATGCCGAAGAAAAACAGTGTTTTCAGTGTCCAGTGTAAGCTTTCGAGCGGAAGTTTTCTGAAGATGCAAGCCACTCGTGATTGCAAAACGTTAGGATGAAATTCTTCTAGACTCTCGGCCTCAACTTTGACAAAAGGCAAAGCTTTCGGGTGAAAGTTCTCTGAAGATGCAAACCAGTCGTAATTGCAAAACGTTAGGACCAAATTCTGAAAAAATCCTATATTCAAGTGTGCTTACTGCCCTCAAACTTCCGCTGTGAATCTTGTGTTGAAAATTTCTCCATGACGTTTCGCAAGCACAACTGTCTTGCATCTTCAGACCTCTTTTGCTTGAAAGCTTTCGCTGGACACTGAAGAAACACTGTTTTCCTTTGGTGAACGTTTTGGCATTAATTTTAGCTTTCAAGGGCCCTAAAAAGGCTGAAACGGCGGTCCAAGAAAAACAGTGTGTATCAGTGTTCAGTGTAAACCTTTGAACGAAACATCTCTGAAGATGCAGAACACTTGTGCTCGCAAAATGTCACGAATAAACTTCTGCGGTCTGTCAAGCAAAAAAAAAATGTACTCACGTTTTGCAAGCACGAGTGACCGGCATCTTCAGAGATGATTTGCTTGAAAGCTTGCACTAGACACTGAAGGTCAACGTTTCGGAAATTTCTTTGGCTCTCGGCAGGAGTTCAAGAAGATCAGTCTTTTTCAGTGTCCAACATAAGCTGTCGAGCAAAATGTATCTGAAGATGCAAGCAACTTTTGCTTGCGAAACGTCGAAAATATATTCTCCTCCACGGCGAACTAAAAGCTCGAAAAACTCTCCAGTTTCAAGCAATTAGAGCATTAAAGAGTGTTTAGTGTGGAAAGCGAAACTTAAAAATTCGGATAGAAAATATATGCGAGGAGGTTCATAAATTCCACAAAATTCTTCATGGGATTCATTGGATCAATTGCCAAAAACATGGACAATATTGGACTAAACCCGAATGAGGCCAAGTGTAAGGTCGGATTTTGAAGAAAAAAACTTTTTCAAGAGAAGTATCCGGTTGGCATGTTTTTTATCGAAAACGGAGTAAGATGCGAACGAAAAATAGAGACTAAAAACGTGTATTTTCTATTGCTTCAACTAACCAAGAGTAGCTTTTAAAAAAATATTTAGAGCGCACTTATTTTGGGAAATAATCTTACTACTTGCCCCTGGGGCACGCCCATGAAAAAGATTGTGTTTCGTCTAATAGACCCTAAAAATTCTTTAGCAAAACAGCAACAAACTGTTAAAACTTTATCGAAACTAAATCATACGTTTTAAAATTAGAACCGTAATTTTTTTTTATTTGAACACCCTGAATCACAAAGATAAGCGTTTCCAACCTACATTTACAGACAGTTTTTCTCTTTAATTTTACCCAAAAAACTCCATTTTATATCTTAGCTCCTCATATAAGATTACGCTTTAAATATTCATATAATTGTATCAAAGTAACAGAAGATAATTAGAAACTTGCCGTTAGAGACGTTTTTTAACACTGTCTTATTATATGTACAGTAAAAACTGCTCGTTAAGGCACAATATTGTGTTTGATGGGGAAGTTTACGTAAAAAAACACTGAAGTTATTTTTTGTTGTTTTTTAAAAAAGAATGCGGAAAAAAATTAAAACTCCTCAAAAGTCGGTGGCGTAGCCCTTTGTTGCTTCGGGTAACCTTAACTAGACCACAGCAACTCCACTGAATAAACTAAAAAAATGTCGCTGCAATCTAAATTGCACAAATCCTCATTGGCTTAATCCCACCGCAAGAACTTAGTCGATTTCTTTAAACATTTTCAAAAATTCTAACAAAAATCAACGGATTTTTCAAACGCCATTACAGTTTTTTCTGGAATGTTTTGCATTTTTAACTTCCATTCACTTAGTTTTTCAGTTCAGGTAAACCATCCGAAGAACGATTTTCCTGGATTCGTAAACCAGCAATTCACAGCTAATTTAGTGGGCAAAGTAAATAAACACTTGTCTATTTTAATAGGCGAATTAAACGCAATGTATTTATGGAAAGAGTATTTTTGCGTTGATGTGCCAGCAGCAAGTGGCGGTGCGGTTAATTCAAATAACAACATCATGGTCAACATTTTATTTTACTCGATTGATAGTATTTTCTATTTTCATATAACAACAACAGCGAGAATATTTTATATGCAAAGGAAAAAAGCGTTTGGGTAGTGACTTTGGCCGAAAGCCCTAAAGAAGTCGTTTAAGACAACATCTCAAATTGGCTCCTATTGGCCAAACGTAGTATTGTCATGCATGGCATTCTCCAAGAAAAATTCACTTGTTCAAACTGCAAGTCCCCATCTAGACTCCAAATGTATAGTATTCAGGAAGCCTTGCAGTTGTTGCCTCAGGTTCTAGCTGATTGTTGTCGATTTGAATCGCATTGCAGGAAATAATAATTCAAGTCCCAATTTGCTCAAAGAGGGTGGCGTTCAATGGCGAGGAAGTCGCGGATCCATTGTTAACGGCAGTGCCCCAAGTGGGTTCCGAGGCGGCGATCAAGAGCGGAACTTCTACGAGCATAATGTGGAGAACTCCATTGCTGGGTGCAACCAGTTGGAGAGATCCCGCGCAACTGAGAATGACCCTATTCACCTCAAGAGACGGGTGGGACTCGTCAGTGGGGTGGCTTTAATTGTCGGTACCATGATAGGTAAGCGCTTCCAGCCGACTTACCCAAATTGGTTCTGACTGCTCGCTTTCCTTGGCGGTTGCAGGATCTGGAATTTTCGTCTCACCTTCGGGTCTACTGGAACGGACAGGCTCAATCGGAATGAGCTTTGTGGTGTGGATGTCCTGCGGCTTGTTGTCTCTTTTGGGTAAGTATTCAATTGTGTGATTACCAATTTTGAAGCAATGGTAAGTTTAAACTCTGGAACCTCGCAGCTACCGGAGAAAACTGACCAAGAAGCGGCGTTGCCGATTTTATTATTTTTCCTAGTAACTGTAGTACAACGAAAAGCCAGCTTCAAGAAATGCATTTTTTCTGGACATTAGAAGAAAAAAAATACAGTTGCACTCTTTTAGAACGAACTTGTGCAGTTTGGCAACACTATGTCAGTTTCGGTTGATTTTTGGGTTTTCGGTTGTTTGAAACTTGATTTACATGCACTCAAACGCTGGTTTTCCAAAATAATCAAGACGATCGGGAAAGGGTGTACAAAACATCACATTGCATGCTAGTCAAAAAGTATTTAATTGACTGGCAAGCTTTGAGGATGAAGACCTTTAAAATGAAACGTCTTAGCAAAAAAATATGCAGTAGGATGCTCGAATGACCACCAACACCATTGTTTGGCTCAATTTTAGTTTCTACAGTTGGCAACTTTGGCGTGCTTTGACGTTTTTCATTCTGTAGTTGTAATTTCCTTCTAAATGTCATTGTCACCCATTGAAATCAGTCAAAATGTATCAATTGTTTGAATTGGATGCAATCAAGCTTGGCCTTATTTAAGGATGAATTAATCCGTAAATTTGCAAAACGAGTTCTGAAGGCGGTTTTTTAAGCTTAAAGACGATTTGTAAAGAAAGTGCGACATTCTCGTATAAAATTAAGCGCAAATTTGAAATCACTAATAAAATGGAAATACGCAGTCAAAGAAGATTCATTCTATTTATACAGCACTAGCAATTTAACAAAAAAAAATCCGTTTGCGAAAAAATTGACAGTCCTTCAATAGCTGATGAAATCTTTTCGTGGTTCAGTTTCAGATTCTACAGTTGGTGACATTGATGTTTTCGACTATACAGTGTTAAATTCGCCCTTAATGTCACTGTCACCCATCGAAATCAATCAATATGTGACGTGTGTTTGATGGGCATCTGATTAAACTCGAATCTTAAAGATAAATGAATCCGGAAACTTGTAAAATGGCTTCTCGACTGCTGTTTTTAAAATTTAAGGTCAATCAGTAAAGGAAACAACGAGCTGAAGTTCGTCAGACTCCATGTAATTGGTTGAGAAGTTTTGAAGATAAAGGTTTTCGAAACGAGCAACATTTTAGTGTAACATCAAGCGCAGATTCGCAAACTTTCAAATGCAAGCAACTAAAGAGAACCAGTTTTAAAAAGAAATTACACAGGCGAAGAAGGTTAATTGTATTTATAAAAAAATAGCAATTTAATTAAAACTTTTATTTTCTCAGTAACCAACAGTCTCAGTTTTTATAGCTTGTGACATTTATGATAAATTCGCTCTAAATGTCACTGTCAGTGATCGAAATCAATCAAAATGTGACATTTGTTTGTTTTACATGGGCTTAAGCTGGGGTTTTCGGGATTAATAAGACTGGGACTTTAGAAATGCTTCATTAAACAGTGTTTTTAGAGCTTTAAAGCGACCTGTAAAGCTTTTCAGCAAGTTCGAAAACATATGAGTAATTCAATGTCAAGTGTTGAGGATGAAAGTATTCAAGTCGAAACGTCGAAAAAATCTGTAAATTGATGATGCTGCTCGATTGATCGTCAGTCCTATTGTTTGGCACAGTTTCAATTTTTACTGTTGGCGACACTGACAGTCATGTTGTTTCGTGCTTTGACGTTTTTGATTGTGTCATTTTAATGTCGCTGACAGTAATTGAAATCAATCAAAATGTGATATTTTTTTTTACATAACATCAGGGTACGATTTTTAAGATGAATGAATCAGAAAAATTGTAAAAATGTCTCTAGAAGGGTGTTTTTTAAGCTCGAATCTTAACTGGCTTTTTTCAAGCTTAAGACTAATCAGTAAAGGAAATAACAAAGCTGAAGTGCGTCAAACTCCATGTAATTGGTTGAGAAGTTTTGAAAATAAAGGTTTTTGGACCGAGCAACATTTTAGTATATCAAGCGCAGATTCGCAAACTTGCAATCGCAAGCAACTAAAGAGAACCAGTTTTAAAATGAAATTACGCAGGCGAAGAAGGTTAATTACATTTATAAAAAAATAGCAATTTAATTAAAACTTTTATTTTCTACGGAACGAACAGTCTCAGTTTTTATAGTTCGTGACATTGATGCGCTTTGGCGTTTTCGATTCTTCAGTGGCAAATTCGCTCTAAATGTCACTGTCAGTGATCGAAATCAATCAAAATGTGACATTTGTTTCTTTAACATGAGCTTAAGCTCGGGTTATCGGGATTAATAAGACTGGGACTTTAAAAAATGCCTCATTAAACCGTGTTTTTAGAGCTTTAAAGCGACGTGTAGAATTTTTCAGCAATTTAGTCAGAAAACAAATAAGTAATTGAATGACAAATATTGACTATGAAAGTCTTCAAATCGAAACGTCGTAGAAAAAATGTTTACAATTGATGATGCTGCCTGTTATTTGACACAATTTCAATTTTTACAGTTGGCGACATTGACGGTCATGTTGTTTCGTGCTTTGACGTTTTTGATTGTGTCATTTTAATGTCATTGTCAGTCATGTCAGCCAACAAGGTCCGATTTTAAAACATGAATGAGTCAGAAAAATTGCAAAGATGTCTCTAGAACGCTTTTAAGACGCAAAATTCTAACATAAAATTAAGTTAGAAAATTTCGTTATAAATGTAAAATTCTCAATAACTACGGAATTGACAGTTCTTTAAACGTTGACAGAGTCTTTACTTGGTTAAGTTTCAATTACTACAGTTGTTGACATTGACGTGATTTGACGTTTTTGAGTATGCACTTAAAAATTCGCTCTTTACGTCACAGTCACTAATCCAAATCAATCAAAACTTGACATTTGCTTGGTGTTCATGCAACTAAGCTCGGTTTTAACGAGTTATGAAGATTTAAAACTGGAAAAATCTGATAGATATGGGTTTTTTTGCGCTTAAAACCTTGAGTAATAAAGACAGCGTTTTCTGCAGTTGTAAATAACATCAATGGTGGTTCAAGATTAAAGTGAAATGCTTACTTTTCCGCAAAAAACGCACCCACTTGATCAAAAACAGCAGAACTAAACAATAAAAGACTAGAACCTCCTAAACCTCAAAAGCCCTAATTTTTTTAAAACTTAAAAAATTACACCTTTAAGGTGCCCTCTCCTATGCCGAGCTGGGTACCATGAACACCTCATCCGGCGCGGAGTACGCGTACTTTATGGACGCGTTTGGAGCGCCTCCAGCGTTCCTCTTCTCATGGGCCAGTACTCTAGTCCTCAAACCCTCCCAAATGGCGATCATTTGTCTCAGTTTCGGGAAATACGCCGTGGAAGCCTTCGTAACTGAGTGCGAGCCGCCAGAAATCGTTGTGAAGATGGTGGCCCTCCTAGCTATGGGTAAGTCAGTTCATCCATCTGCCATCTCCTTTTACTAAAGGAGTACCGTTCTAGTGGTGATCCTCTACGTCAATTGCTACAGCGTCAATTTGGCCACTAGTGTTCAGAACGTTTTCACTGCTGCCAAGCTGGTTGCTGTTCTGATCGTGATCTTGGGCGGAGCGTACAAGATAGTGGAAGGTAAGCATCAGGATGGTTTCAGAGCTTTAGAATCTGAGCAGCAGATGGAGGAATCGGCTGGTTATGGATCTGAATTCACCGCTGTTGCCTTAAATAAATAAATTCCAGGGAATACCCAGCATTTAAGGGACCCTTTTGCAAACACCAAGTCCTCAGTTGGCAATATTGCGACCGCATTTTACACCGGCCTTTGGGCGTATGACGGGTGGAACAATTTAAATTATGTGACTGAAGAAATCAAAGATCCATCCAGGTAAGCAAAGGCTTCGTTACCAGACAGACAGTGGTTTGCAGCAGTAAAATGCATTGTAGAAACTTGCCACGCAGTATAGTGATCGGAATACCGTTGGTGACCATTTGCTACGCGCTCATCAACATATCCTACCTAACAGTGATGTCGCCCATGGAAATGATGACCAGTGAAGCTGTAGCTGTGGTGTTTGGCAATCGGTTGCTTGGTAAGGCTGTTGGCTCTCTAAGTAGTGGGAGTTTGAATGTTGGACACTTTCCAGGAGTTATGGCCTGGCTGATGCCGCTTTCCGTCACCATTTCTACCTTTGGGTCCGCAAACGGTACGCTGTTTGCTGCTGGAAGACTCTGCTTTGCGGCTAGTAGGGAGGGCCATTTACTGGACATTTTGTCTTATGTGCACGTTAGGCGATATACTCCCTCTCCTGGCCTGATTTTCCACGTAAGGAGTTCTCCAATTTTCCAGCTTTTGTTGGTGAATTTTTGGGTTTCAGTCAATAATTGCGGGCGCCATGGTTTTGTATGGAACCATCGACTCCTTGATCGACTTCTTCAGCTTCACTGCCTGGATTTTCTATGGGGGCGCGATGTTGGCTCTGATCGTCATGCGACACACCAAGCCGAACTATCCCCGACCTTATAAGGTAGTTTAGGTGATTTGCAGCCGTTTCCGGTACAAAAACGCGTTTTCCAGGTGCCAATTATCATCCCCTACTTGGTTCTGTTGATCTCGTTCTACCTGATTATTGGGCCCATTGTGGACAAGCCCACCATCGAGTACCTGTACGCTGCATTGTTTATTTTAGGTGGAATGATCTTTTATGTTCCTTTCGTACATTTCAAGTGCCGCATCCCGTTTATGGGTAAGTGGTCACTTTGGAGGTACGCCCGATAACTGAAACACACTGTTCCAGATGGTATCACTGTGTTCTTGCAAATGTTGCTGGAAGTGGCGCCAACAACCAACATGTTTGACTAGAGCTGTTTTTTACTATTTTTATATTTTATTTATAAATCGTTTACAAGACGGTTCGGAGCCAGTGTTGCACTTTTTACTGTCTGAACGGCTGGTGTTATTAAATGCATTTATATAATAACCCAAGTTGGATCTTTCGAATATTTTTATCAATGGCGATGTGATGGTTTGTATTAAATTTGTTAAACAATAGAAAAATGGTTGAAAGTCAGTTGTTTGTTCGATCCCAAAGCCCCCTCATTTTCTTCCAGATATATGAAGAATATTTAGGAACAGTATGAGAATGAGAGTAGCAGAATGAGAGAAGAGTGCCACAATTCTTTGAAAAATTGCCAAAAATGCAAGAAAGTCACATTTCCTTTGAAATGGAAATGGGAAAAGTTTTGTTAAGTTAATTGTCGTTTTGAACAATTTATTTAAAACGATTTCATCCTGCCAAATGGGGAGTAGGTGACACACTCTCAAGATTGCTCTTATAAACGGTTTAAAGAATTGGTTCCCAGCTAGTCGGGGTTATGCGAAAAGAATTTTGGAAAATATTTTTTTAGCGCGTTATGACACAAAATCTATTGCTGCCAACTAAAATCTAACCAATATTTCAGTTAAAAATATACCAAAAGTGCCCAGTCACTTCTCTGATAGAGTGGGGATTTCTCTATCTAATGTTTTCAAAAAAAGTCTACTAGTTAATCAATTAACTTAAAAGGAACTTAACCTGTAAAATGGGAAGCAGGTGGCACACTCTCAATTACAAATATTGCCAAAATTCGAAAAAATTAGTGAAAAGTTCGCACTTTTAAACCTGATGAGAGTGAAGATTGCTCTTCTTAATGGTCTATCAAACAGGCTTCTAGCTGGTCTTGAATTTCCATAAAGAAATTTCAAAAAATATTTTTTCAACGTGCCGTAACGCAAAGTCAATTGCAACCGATTGAAAAATAGTCAACTATTCATTTTAAAAATAAATCCAAAAATGAGAAAAGTGTCCAGATATGCGACACTTGTGTTATAGAGCGGATATTTTTCTATCAAATGCTCTATAAAAAACTCTACTAGTTAATTCTCGTTTTGAATAATAAATTGAAAACGCCCTTAACTCGTAAAATGGGGAGCGGGTGGCACACTCTCAATTAAAAATATTGCCAAAATTGCAAAAAAAAATAGAGAAACGTTTGCACTTGTAGACCCGATAGAGTGATGATTGCTCTTCTTAACGGTGTATAAAACAGGCTTGTAGCTGGTCTTGAATTTGCATAAAGAAATTTCAAAAAATTATTTTTTCAACATGCCGTAACGCAAAGTCAATTGCAACCGACTGAAATATAGCCAACTTTTCATTTTAAAAGTATACCAATAATTAAGAAAACTGTCCAGATATGCGACACTTACGTTATGGACCGGATATTTCTCTAGCAAATGCTCTATAAAGAAGTCTACCAGTTAATTCTCATTTTGAATAATACATTTAAAACCTCCTTAACTTGAAAAATGGGAGCGGGATGCACACTCTCATCTAAAAATATTGCCAAAATTCCCAAAAGATTTACACTTTAAAGTCTGACAGAGTAATAATTGCTCTTTTAAATGATCCATAAAACTGCTTTCTAGCTGGTCCTCATTTTTAGTACGGATTTTTGTAAATGATTTGTTGAGCTCTTGACGCGTAGCCAATTGCAACTTTCATCTGCAATAAAATAATTTTAGATAATTACAGTTTTCCGCAATTTCCAGCTTTTTCACTCTATTCCGGAACTAAAAGGCCCTTAATTTATCAGTTTCTCTTCATTCAGTAAAAATCTGCTGTAGTTAGATCAGGTAAATTTGATGGCTAAATAAACGTTCTACACCCAGCATATTAATCCTCAATCATCTATTGAGTTCCTTCTATTCCGAAAATGAAATCAATCCTCTTTTAACTAAACATCACTTTATTGCACACTGTAAATAATTAATTTAACAAATAAAAGCTACTTTGGCACGTTTAAGACTTCCCGACGATTTTTTTCACCTTATTCCCAAATCGCGCCCACCAACCGGGAGCGGGAGTGGTGGATGTGGCGTCTGGACCTTCTGGCGCAATTTCCGGAACACTTTCCGCGGCCGCATTAGTTTGGGGGCTGATGTACTCAGCATCAGCTACATCTGGCTGTGGATGGCTTTGCCTGCCACCTTTAACTCCTCTTTGGTTGGAGGCAGTTGCAGGAGCGCCGTATCCAGACTGCCGTTCCTGATGTGAGGTGCTTCCATAGCCGCTGGAGCCAGAAAATGTGTTACTGGAGTAGTGGGTGTGAGCTACAGCATTCACTTCAGTGTCTCTTGTAGTGTAGATCTCAATATTTGATCGAACTGAGTTGTCCAGCCGAATCTGTAAGTAGCGTTTGAGGTCGTAAATTTTGCGCGGTTGGAGACCCGTGGATATAAGTTCGGAATACTCGGGGAAACCCGGCTCGCAGTATTTTTCTAGTTTTTGGGAAACCTGCTCAACCATCTCCTGCTGCAGAGCAGCCAACGACTGCTTGTAGGCCGGCTGGGAGAGCTGGGACTGCCTGAGAGTAAAAATGCGGCTTTCTAGAGCTTGTTCTACTTGTCTTTGCACATTTTCCTCAATTTTCCTTATCACCTGCATCTGCTGAGGTGTGATATTATCCAGCGTGACCACTCGACGGTCGCTAGTAGCCCCTTCAATGTGATAGACATTTTTCAACAATTCTCGCACCAGCTTAACAAGCTTGATCTCCAAGTACTTCTGGACATCGGCAATTTTGTGGAATTCAAACTTCTGATGAATCAGGTTTGAGTATTTGTTCAAACCTTCGAGCTGAGGCTCTTGGTTGGTGCGGCCCTCGAAGCAATCGGCCAGCTTCTTCTTCACATCAGCCTCCAATTTGGCTTGGGACGCCTGATAGAGACGGTAATTGGTGGCATAATCATTGCTTGATGTGCTTGAGGAGTATTCATTTGCCACTTCTTCTGTGAGTATTTCCTCCAGCTGGCCCTCGATGCCATTGATCACATCCAACTGACCTGGCGTGATATTTTCCAGTTTCACTTGCACATATTGAGGGCTTGGGTTGGTGTTGGATTCCTCCTGCTGCTTCCTTGCTAGGGCTCTCAGTGCCTCGATCAGCTGGTCAGAATTTCTTCTGGCAGCCGCCAGCGAATCTTCCGGTGAAGAGGAGGAAGCACTGGGCAAAGTGGGTTGAGGTAATGGTGTCGATAGGTCAAATGGGCTGGTTTGAGTGGAAGTGACCAACGATCCAGACTGAACTGCTGGCACTTTGCTCAGAGGCACAAACTCAAACTGCTGCGCCTGGGAGTTGATTTCGCTCTCCAGGAAATTGCGGGGAGTAGTTTGAGGGCGCAGGCCTCCAATGCCGTTTTGAGTCTGGACCATCTGGAAATTAAAGGAGTCCTTATAGTAGCCAGACTTTTGGAACTTTTCAACCAGAGTCCTGGACACATGCGACTCAATATATTGCTCCAAAGCAGTCACGTCCTTTTGCCCAATGTTCAAGTAGGCGTATCTTCTGTCGCCTAGCAGATTCTGGCATTCCCTGGTAATATTCGCCCGGAGCGACTCCAGAGTTTTCGAGTAGACCTGCGAAGGGAACCACGAAGTGGGCAACTCATTTTTTATTATTTCGTCGATTTGATTGGTTAAAGTGCTCTCAATGCTGGCAGAAATCGACTGCAATTGAGGAGGAATGCTTGGCTCAACAGTTGCAACTGGAGTAGAAGGTTCTCTGATGGGATTTACGTACCCAGCTGGCGGCAGAGTTGGTACAGGAACACTATTTACCGGCCTCAATTGGTTGGTGGAGGTTGGAGCTAGAGGTTGCACAGGAACAATCAAGTTGGGCTGTGCGAATGTTCCGACAGTTTCCACCGATGGCGATGTTGAGGGAGAGTCCACATTAATCCCAAACACTGTCTGCAGCTGCGCTCTTAGTTTCTTAACCAGTTTGATTTCTATGTACTTTTTCACATCGGAAATCTTGCGGAAGTTGAACTTACTATAAACCTGATTGGAGTACTTGTTCAGACCGCTAATCTCAGTGTTGGCCTTTAAGGTGCCAGCAAAGCAATCAGTCAAGTTCCTCCGCAATTCCCTCTCCAGCTTGGCAAGAGAGGTTTGGTACTGTTGATATCTTGATACAGTTGATTGAGAGTTGAAGGTCTCCTTATTCACAGCAGCTTGCAGAATTGGTGAAAAATCCTCCTCGATGGCAGCTATGAGGGTGAATTGCTCCGGAGTGATGTTCTCCAGCTTCACATGCAAGGTGTGCGGTTGAGTTTGGGGGCGTGGCCGATAACTCAACCCTCCAGTGCCACTTTCCAAAGGCAAAACTGTCTCAGGTTCAGGCAGGTTGTTTTGCGTGCCATATTGGAGGCCCTGGATACTTCTAGGGGTAGAGGGAGTTTGCAAGCTGCCTCCAAACAGACTTGGTCTAGGCGACGAGGGGAACACCTGGTTAATCTGTACACCAGTGTCGTAGTAATCACTTTCCTGCCCTAAATTTCCAGGGTTCACAGCCTGTGGCGTGGTGGCCTCCCTTTTGTTATCCAGATTTCCTGCTACTGGACCCAAGGGTTGCACCTTTGGCGTCGATTGAGGGCTTCCAAGAATATCAGTGTCATAGTAATCCCTCTCTTGTCCTAAATTTCCCGGGTTCAAAGCCTGTGGCGTGGTTGCCTCCCTTTTGTTATCCAAAGTTCCCGCTACTGGACCTAAAGGTTCCCCTTTTGGCGGCGATTGGGGGCTGCCATTGGTCTGAAGAGGAGAATAATTCACGTTCTGAGGCCTCAGGTATTCACGTCTAGGATACCATGACTGATGATTGTATTGATGATGTCGGCTTGAGTGCTGCGAGTGGCTATGGCTGGCCTCTATTGATCCAACTGTCCCAAAATTCCGGTCCTTTTCTCCGTTAGCTGAAGGTCCATTTTCGCTTGGCGCTTGCCCAGCAAGGGCCCAATTAACTTCACGCTGGTCGTCAGGGGGAGCAAAGTCTCTTTCAGGGCCTCTGGGATAAGGCCTGAGAGCTGGTCTGGGGCTCGATTGGTAGCCAGTTCCTACTCCCACAAACACATTGTCAACCTGCGCTTGTTGAGTATCATCTGAGTCATCCTTCACTTGTCCAATATCGCTGCGCTGGGGGTTTAAACTGTTTGCGGCACTTCCTGCCTCTGTTACTTGAGAGAAAGGCTTCGGGCTCAAGCTGGAGCCTTGGGCTGGCCTCAGGCTCCCCTGGTACCCGGTTTCCACTCTTTGGCTCCCCAGTCCAATAGACCCGAAGTCGTGCTCAACTTGCACTTGTTGGGTATCATCTGAGTCATCTTCCAGTTGTCCGATCTCGTTCTGCTTGGGAATTGAGCCTCCTGCCGCTGTTGCTTGAGATAAAGGCCGTTGGTTCAAGTTAGAGGCTTGAACTGGTCGGATTCCTCCTTGGTATCCGGTTGCCACTCGTTGACCTCCCAGTCCAATGGAACTGAAATCGTTCTCAACTTGCACTTGAGCCTGAGGTGCCTGAACAGTTGGTCTGGGTCTTGATATCCCTGGTTGATATCCCTGGCTTCCCAGCCCTATTGAGCTAAAGCCGTGGTCAACTTCCACTTGCTGAGTGTCGTCTGAGTCGTCCTCTTCCTGCCCAACTGCAATAGGCGCTACTTGCAAAGGCTTCTGATGGATGGCTTCCAGTTGGTTCTGATTGGAGCTTTGAGCTGGCCTGTTTCTTCCTTGATATCCACTCTGGCTGCTTTGACTGCCCAGTCCTATAGAGCTGAAGCCGTGGTCTACTTGCACCTGCTGGGTGTCATCCAGATCTTCCCTTTGGCGCTGATTTCCAGATACTGGAAATTGGCCAAAGCCTGGATCAACTACGATTTGCTGGGTGTCATCGTCGTCGATTTCCTGGCCAAGGTTTTCCGTGTTTAGGTTGGAAGATTGGAAGGGCTGCATTAGTTCGGAGTCGTCCGTCTCTTGGCCCAGTGGCTGAGATTGGCCGTATCCAGATGATCCACCGTATACTCCTGCAAAGTGTGATTGGATGATTATTCGGTCCAGGGGTTAAAGGGAGGACTTTTGTGAATGACGAGAAGGAAAGTCTGGATGATTTTCTGGATACTGTCTAAATACTCATACGTCTTTCGCAAATGAAAGCAATGAAATTTAATATCCAGAATACGTATAAAAACTGAATTGTGCATAGAATGAAGCTTTTTCTATGAAAAGGTCTATGGATCAGCCCTCTATCTGGTCCTGATTGTGGTCAGCGAATTATTGTTGAATGTAACGGAAAATCAATTGCAACTGATGCCAATCTAGTCAAAGTTTGAAAAATTGCCAAAAATCAAGATAATCAATCAGAAAATCGAGCCTTCTAGATCTGAAAGCGGGAGCCGTTTCCTCTTAAATGCGATGTGAGTCATTATTCTAAGTAGTCCTGATTTGAATTCGTAAATTTTGGAAGAACAAACCTGAAGAATTTTGCGAAAATTGAAGAATATTACTAGAACATCGCTTTTTTCAGGCCTGATAGAGCAAAGGTTGTTCTTTCAAATAGTTTACAATTCAAATGGTTTTCTACCGGCTTTCTATTTTGTTCAGCCTCTTTAATAATGTCTTTACATAGTGACGTAAAATCCATTTTAACAGACTAAAATATTTCGCTTTAAAATTTTCCTAAAATTGGGAAAAGTCAGTAAAAAATTGAAACTTACCGGCATAATGTAGCAAAGATTTTTCTATTAAATGATCCATAAAAAAAGTCTACTGATTAATTTTCTTTATAAGTAATGACTTCTTTAAAAAAAGTTGCTGAATGAGAGCCAGAAAAACACACTCTCACTTTTAAAATTTGTCCAAAATCGAAGAATGCTACTGGAAAATCAGCACTCACATGCCTAATAGAGCGAAAAAAAAATATTTCGATTATTATATAGAACAGTCTTCTAACAAGTTCAGAAGTTATTCAGTTCAACGAATTTTTGAAAAATGCTTTACCCACGAACCGTAAGACAAATTCAACTACAATGTTCTCTAGTCAATCCCACGTCTTAAAAATTTTCCAAAAATCGAGGAAAGTCACCGGAAAATGTATACTTGCCGGCATGATGTAGTGAAGATTTCTCTATCGGGTAGCACAGAAAAAAGTCCTTGGATAAGTGTGCTTTAAAGTAGAGAATTTAACAAAATTAACCTGCAGAAAAGGAGAACATTGACACACTCTCACTTCGAAAAATTGCCAAAAATCGAAGAATAATATTGAAAAATCCGTTCTTGCACACCTAATATAGAGAAGAACTATCTTCCAAATGATCCGTAAAATATTCTTCTAGATGCTTCCTATCATGCGCAGGCAATTTATGAAAAATATCTTATTTGCATCGTGATGCAAATTTAACTGCAATGGCTCTAGTAAATCTGTCAATTTAAAAATGTCCTTAAAATCACAGAAAGTCGTGAAAAAATCAACACTTGGAGACATGATTTAGTGAAGATTTATCCATCAAATAGTCTACATAGAAGACTACTATTTAGATGCGGTTCTACGTAACAAATTTTTAGAAAATTCACTTGTGGAATCGAAGCACAGTGACACACTCTCACTTTGAAAAATTTCCAAAAAATAGAGAACAGACCTGATTGAACAAAGATTCCTCTTCCACATGATCAAGAAAAAGCCTTCTAGCTACTTGCGGTTTTGCGTAGAGAATTTTTGATAACAACTTTATGTATGCATAGTGACGTAAGTTCAATTGCAATCGACCAAACTCTGGTCAATTTTCCACTTAAAAAATTTGCCAAAAATCGAGTAGTCACGAGCAACTCGACACTTTTTTCTCCGACATGATTTAGTGAAGATTGTTCTATTAAATAGTCTTTAGAGAAGTTCACTAGCTGGACGTGATTCTTAGTAAGTAATGAATTTTTCCTGCCGAATCGGATGAGAGTGACATATTCTCACTTTGAAAAATCGAGGAAAGCCTCGAACGAATCGACACTTTCCTACATCATTTAGTGAGGGGTATAGAGTATAGAACACTCCTTAGTGAGGAGTGTTCTATTAAATAGTCTTTAGAGAAGTCTACTGGTTGGACCTGATTCTCAGTATTTAATGAATTTTTCGTGCCAAATCGGAAGAGAATGACACACTCTCATTTTGAAAAATTTCTAAAAAGGAGAAAATGCGGCTGAACACTCGACAGTTGCAGACTTGATTGTACAAAGATTGCTCTTCCACATGGTCAAGAAAAAGTTCTTTAGCTGCTTGCGGTTTTGCGTAGGGAATTTGTGAAAAATACTTTTTGCCTGCATCGTGAGGCAACTGCAATTACAATCGACCAAACTCTAGTCAAGTTTCCACTTTAAAAATTTGCCAAAAATTGAGGAAAGTCTCGAACAAATCGACACTTTCCTACATGATTTAGTGAGGAGTGTTCTATTAAATAGTCTTTAGAGAAATCTACTGGTTGGACCTGATTCTCAGTAATTAACGAATTTTCCGTGCCGAATCGGAAGAGAATGACACACTCTCATTTCGAAAAATTTCTAAAAAGGAGAGAATGCTACTGAACACTCAAGAGTTGCAGACCTGATTGAACAACGATTGGTCTTCCACATGGTCAAGAAAACGTTTTTTAGCTGCTTGTGGTTTTGCGTAGGGAGTTTTTGAAAAATACTTTTTGTATGCATCGTGATGCAACTTCAATTACAATCGACCAAACTCTAGTCAAGCTTCCACTTTAAAAATTAGCCAAAATTCGAGGAAAGTCTCGAACAAATCGACACTTTCCTACATGATTTAGTGAGGAGTGTTCTATTAAATAGTCTTTAGAGAAATCTACTGGTTGGACCTGATTCTCAGTAATTAATGAATTTTTCGTGCCGAATCGGAAGAGAATGACACACTCTCATTTTGAAAATTTTCTAAAAAGGAGGGAATGCGACTGAACACTCGACAGTTGCAGACTTGATTGTACAAAGATTGCTCTTCCACATGGTCAAGAAAGAGTTATTTAGCTGCTTGCGGTTTTGCGTATGGAATTTTTGAAAAATACTTTTTGCATGCATCGTGAGGCAACTTCAATTACAATCGACCAAACTCTAGTCAACTTTCCACTTTAAAAATTTGCCAAAAATCGAGAAAATACAAGAACAAATCGACACTTTCGGACATGATTTAGTGAAGAGTGTTCTATTAAATAGTCTTTAGAGTCTGGTTGGACGTGACTCTAAGTAAGTAATACATTTTTCCTACCGAATCATAAGTTTGAAAAATTGGCAAAATTCGAAAATTACCACTGGAAAATCGACGCTCTCGCACCTGATAGAGCAAATATTTCCAAATGGTCCATAAAAACGCGTTTAGCAGTTTTCTCTTTTTTGTAAGGAATTATTGAAAAAAAATTACCAGCGCATTGTTAGTCAAAATCAATTGCAACCGACTAAAATCGTTCACTTTAAGAAGTCACCAAAATTCGACGAAAATCCAAGCTTTTTGTCCAAATAGATTCCCTTTCACCCCCCTTCACCCTTGCACCCTTCCAGCTGCTTCCAATTTTGAATGAGGACTTTTTGAAAAAAGGTTACCCTCGTAATATGACGGAAAACGTATCTACTGCGGAAAACGTATCTACCCCACATGTTTAGTTATCATGAGGATGGCGACACTGAGGATGAACTGGACTGAATCCAGATGGGTTAGTACTAAATGAGACCACACACACTTGAAAAAATCATGTATTACAAAACCGATTGATTACAGCAAATGGCCTTAACCTAAACATCTAGACCACCCCCTGACATGCCTCTTTACGTACCTCTGGAATTATACCTAACCCCTGTCTGCGAAGAGATTCCTAAGGGCTGGCTGCGATATCCGTAGCTCCTTTTTGCACGAAAAGGTGCATAACCCTGCTGGCAGTCGTCCGGCTGGCGCAGCTGATCCATTGGCATGTACGACCCAAAGAACTCTGCACCATTTCCAGAGCCTAAAGGGAAATTCGATGTTCACCCCCAAGTAAGTTGGATTGGACCTGATTACCTCTAGTGCCTCTGTAATAGTCCCCAGAGCTGCTGCTGTAGGCTCCAGCTCCAGCGCTAGCGCTGCTGCCGGCTGAAGCACTGAACGAAGCCGACGAGCTGTAGGACTGCTGCAGGCCTTGCTGCAGCTGAGAAGCCAGACTGTTTTGCAGCTGCGAGCGCAGCTGAGCCAGTTGGTTTTCGTTGACGCTGCCATACGAACTGGAATAGCCGCTGCTGCCGCTCACGAAGCTCTGAAGCTGCTGCGTCAAGTTCCTCTGAAGCTCCTCAGACAGTCTCCTGTAGGCTTCCTCAAAACCAGCCTGGCCTCTGGACGATGACGGGTACCTGCCAAGGTGGGCTACATTTTGGCTCAGAGCCGCCTGCAATTGGCTGCTCAGATCCGACTGCAGTTGCCTTTCCAGCTGGGCCATGTTGCTGCTTGAGCCGTGGCTACTGAACTCAGACTGGGAGGAGAGATCGTATTGATGCCCCCCTTTAATGCCCTGGCTGATTATGGGGACTATTGAGGCGGCTGTGGGGCGGTAGTAGTCTGAGTCATATCGGGAGGTGGTGTACTGGTTGTATTGCTGCTGGTTGCTGGAACTTCCCATGTTCAACTCAGAAAATTCATTTTGTGCTTGTTGTGTTTGGTAGTTCTGCTGCTGCAGCCGCTGCTGCTGTTGCTGCTGCTGGATAGTTATCCAGCTAAATTTGAACAGTAAAGTAATAACTGATAATGTTGTTGTTGTTGCACCTACTGTTGCTTGGCGCGCTCAAAGTCCCTGGTCAGCTTCTCAATCAGGTTAGTCTCTACTTGTCTGCGCAGGTTCTCCAAGTCAGCAACATTGTAGTTGTACTGAGTGGTCTCCCCAGTGCTGAACATGTGCCCGTTCTTCTCATACTGGGTTCCGAAGTGTCTTCGCAGCTCTTCATCCAGAGAGTAGGTTAAGTTCTGGCGCAGCTCTTGCTTCAAGTTGTTCAGAACTTGTCCAGTGTTGACTGAAGAGAAACGGGAGTTTTCGGAAAAGTACTGCCTCTGGGCGCTTTCCAGCAGCCTGTTCAGCTCGTTGTTCAAATTGTTCTGGACATTGGTCGCAATGGTTGTAACGGACGTTGCGCTTGGTGCTTGAGAGAACTCGACCTGTCTGGGAATGTGTCAAAACTAGCTCAATATCTGCAGTTAATTAGGGGCCATTTGAACTCACCTGCTGGACTCAAATTCCGAATACTGAGACCCTCCGTATTGGGTGTTTGGATATCTTTCTTGAGAGATGGAGTTCAAGTTGGGGTACACCGGCCTGTATACAGTAGGCCTGTATGTTACTGCAGGTCTGTAGGTGGTTGTAACTTCATAGCGGTCGTAGTTCCTGGAGGTGACTGACTGCTGGCGGGATTGAGAGGACCTAAACCAACCCTTCTATTAGCTCCCAACGGATCCGGATCTGGAAAACTCTGGCTCACCGATAAGACTGTTCCCTGCGAATGGTCTCCAGCAAGCTGCTTTCGATTTGTCTTTGCAGCTGATCAAGCTGCGCCTGGTTGTAGTTAGGACTGGCCTGCAATCTGCCGCCATCAATGAGCGAGTAGGACTGTCCGCCTCGGATGGTTTGAAAACCAAACCTCTCCTGGAGCATTTCATTAAGTCTGGCAGTTAAGTTTCTGTGCAGCTCACTTTCCAGCAACCCCACATCATAGTTGCGAGACAGTCTCAGAGCGGATTCGAGCTCGTTTCTCAGGTCGTTCTGAAGCCGGGAGGCGATGGTGCGAAGGTTGGACGACTCAAATGACGACTCAGAGCCTGCCTGGAATGAGGAGCCTGGAAAAACTGGAGGGTTAACTACCTGGAATTACAGTCGGATTTTGGGAGTTTAGTACCGGAGAATTTGTTGCCCGTTTGGTAATTGGACGCCGCCAGACCTTCGGATTCCAGATCGTTGTAATGGGAGCCTCCGAAGCCCAAGCTTCCGGATTGGTATCCAGAGGATACTTGGCCGCCTACGCTTGCGCCGTAACTGTTTGCCAACAAATTGCCGTGGGATATTAAGTCGGCATTGCCATCATAGTAACCTGGAATGTGGTTTTTATCGTTTGAATGGTTGATTTTAAGCCATACGAGCTGCAAACCCGGTAAAAAAAATACTTAATGAATTTGAAACCGTATCAAGCACGAATTTTGTATACCAGTTTTATATATGTGAATGGGAAACTGACCGTCTACGGACTATTTTGTGTTTAAAGGGAAAAAATGGTCTCAAATGCTGTGCGACTAACTTCGGGCTAAATACTGTTTGAGCCTCATAGAGTCACAGTTATTTACTGATTTAGCAGCACGTTGTTCTCAACAATTTTCGAGGTTTGAAGAAGAAAATTAACGGTTTGGTTTCTGTTTAATGTGTTTTCTGTTCGATTGTGAAGTGAAGTTAGTTTGGTGCTCAACGTGCTCGGTACAACATCGAGAAAAACATCAGAAAATGATCGTATAAGCAAGTGTTTAACGCCGAAACTGAATAAAATGAAGAACAGCGATCCGAAAACTATCTAAGAACTGTCCCAATACATTTCAGACAGTGTCGTGCGCAAAGAGCTCAGCACAACCGCATTGTTCCAATTTTCGAGAAAATAAATGAAGGATTAATGCCCAAATTAAATAAATTGGAGAACAATAAATAAACCTCTCTAATTAAACTGTGCTTCTAGGAATTTCAGACAGTGTCGTGGACGAATTTTCTAGCACAACTTCAACAGCAATTTTATATACCAGTTTTATTTATATGTTTGAATGGGAAACTGATCGTTTACGGACTATTTTGTGATCAAAGTGAAAAACTGGTCTCAAAAGTTGTGCGACTAACTTCGGGCTAAATACTGTTCGAATCTCATAGAGTCACAGTTATTTACAGGTTTTGCAGCACGTTGATCTCAACAATTTTTGAGGTTTGAAGAAGAAAATTAACGGTTTGTTTTCTGTTTAATGTCGATTGTGACGAAATTTTGGCACAACTCTCTGAAACCTCTGTAGTTAACTCTGTCTTAATGAACTTTAGACACTGTTTTGCTCGAAGGGCTCTGCACAACATCGACAACATCAGTTTTGGACTTCTGAAGAAAAAAATGAACGTTTAGGTAGGTAATTGCCAAACGACCAACGTGAATACATTGGGGCACAATACGCTGAAAGCTCTCTAGTTGACTGTCTCTGTAAAGTTCAGGAAATCTTGTGCTCAAATCAGTCGGTACAACATCCACAATATTTTGGATATCTGTGGCAAAACAAGCTGAAAAATATGTGGTTAACTATCTCTCTATAGAGCTCAGACAGTGTCGTGCCCGAAGGGCAACATCGACACAACATCGACAAAAATTATTTGCGACTTTTAAAGTCGAAATTGAACGTTTAGGTTGAATTGAATGTATTTGAATCAATTTTAGGCAGTGTCGTGCCCAAAGGTCTCGGCGCAACATTGACAACAATAGTAATCGATTGCTGAAGAAGAAAATGCTCGTTTCAGTGCCTGTTTAATCCCGAAAGAGAAGAAATAGGAGCACAATGAAAATGATCGTATAAGCAAGTGTGTAACGCCGAAACTGAAAAAATGACGAACAGCGAGCCGAAAACGATCTAAGAATTGTCCCAATGAATTTCGGACAGTGGCGTGCTCAAAGAGCTCGGCACAACCGCAATTTTCCAATCTTTGAGAAATAAAATGAAGTATTAATGCCCAACGTAAATAAATTGGAGAACAATAACCTGAAAACTCTCTAGTTAAACTGTGCTGACAACCTCAATTATAACAAATAATTACATTTTATGACAAAAATAACGGTCCAGCAGCTATTTTTATTATTTTAACAACTGAAGACTTTTTTAATAATTAGGCTTAACACACTCTCATTCCAAACAATACACCTTAAGCGTATATTGGGGAAGGAATTTGAATATTTTTTAGCCCTGACACTGAGGAAATAATGCACTCCTGGAAGCATCCAAAAGCGAAAACTCACCAGCATTTCCAGATTCCCTCCTATTTGGATTCACATACTCGGAATGTTCGCTGTTCGAGCTCACTTTGGGCTTAACTCGGCCCTCCAAGTCTCCAGCTTTACTATAGTAGCCCTGGTCCTCAGTTTTATGCTGCAGCTCGTTGTTCTTGAAGGAGGAGGAAGAAGTTTTGTAGTTGTACTCCTGATGGTACAACCCGCTTGGAGAAGCGGCAGCAACTGCTATTGCCACCGCTAAAAGCAGTGTGGTTTTCATTGCGTGGGGTCTGCAATTGAACATGAAGAAACATTTAAATCACTCCAAGTCTTCGGAGTGTTTTAGCTGCAGCCTCGCCTTCTTCAGCTGATAATGGCGGATAATATGAATCTAGCGCGACCCAGTTATCGCACTCTAATTAGCTTGCAATATTCTTATCAAAATGGGGCGCAATCTGCATTCGAAGAACAGCAAGTGCGTTTTAATTGCGATCGAGAAATTCGTTCCTTATGTCGCTAAAAGTGGATATACTGAGGGTTTTTCATTGGGTGGACATTGATCTGCATTTTCGTATGGAACCTTCTAGATCTGGACGCCGATAAGAGCGTAATTCGAGGAAAACAGTACGAAAACATCTTATCTGCTTGAAGAGCTGATGTAATATATGTATGTCTTCATCGTTACAACTGATAACGGAACTGAAAACTCTGTTCTCCGAGTTTTAAGCAAGTTTTAAGTGGGTTTTAAGTAAGGAAATTTTCCATTAAAGTGCAAATAAATTGTAGACAATTTTTTTAAAATACTAATGGGGCCTATATGGATTACTTTAGGAACTTCTTCAGGTGTTAATAAAGTGGATTCTCCCTTAGGATATAGGGAATTGAAAATTTCTTTAAAACGCTCTCTTACCTATAATTCTTGTCCAGCTGGATTAAAAAATGTTAACGTCTTCACTCACTAAACTGACTACACGTAGTATGAACAAGAATTATATATGGAAGAACTTAATCATGTGTTGATACCATTTTGCCCCCGTTTCTCTTTATCTCAATCTCGTTTAATTGGCAATAATGTTGTTATAACATTTTTATTTCGAACTGGTTCGAAGAATCGTGTAAACATCAATTCCATGTCAATCTGTAGAAACTGTTTATTAAGCGATCCTTGGAATAGATGAGTTTCCGTGAATGAACGGGAGTTGGATTATCTTTGAATTAAGAAGAAAAAAATATTGTAAAATCAACCAAACTTTAATACACAGCACATGTGGAGTCTTTGGCCACCTTTGCACATAATGGACTCAATACCTAAGCCAATTATCTTAAACTTATATGTTCTTTAACGTGGTTTATATAGGTAAAGGATATTTCGATCAATTTTGTAATTGTTTTAGAACTGTGTAGAACTTTGAGAACCATCTACAAAGAAACCATTATAATTAAAATATGTATCATTATTAAGTGAGCCTTCAAAGTCTCTAGACTTTAATCCGCTACATTTTTGTACCTTAGCATTAAAAACCTCAATTTTGAGGCCAACCAGTTAAGAACTAGAAGGATATCCAATGAAGAATCTTCAGATTTTCTTTAGAAACCGAACAGAGCCTCCAAAAAACTAGAACTAAAATGTAGATTGTTGCGTTTTGAGAGTTTTTAAGTGCATTGAAAAGGGGCTGCTCGACTCACTCGGTCATAATGTACTTAATTATCCATTTTACTGTGAGAAAGAGTTGATTTTCCGACAGCAAAAGTTGCAGTGTTTTGTGCGATTTTTCCAACCGGTAGTGGGATTTTAGCTCCGAAAACGCAATTTTTGGAGTTTTGACTACGTTCTAAAGACTTCTATACTAATTCTTACTAAACCTTCTATAGTAATGGTAAGTGCGATTTTTCCATACATTCTTCTGAACCTTACAAATTGCCGCGTTTGGCTCCACAAGGCTGATTTCTGATCCCTTGAATCAATCCCTCAATTGTTTCTGCACCATATACGGAGTGTTCAAAAATTGCATTTGCAATCTTCATATGTTATATATCTATCTGCTAGTAAGAGATCTTACTAGCGGCGATTAAAACACTTTTTGCGTATATGCATATTTTCCAGAATGAGGCCTCGATCGCTTAAATGGTCCAGATGAACGACTCTAAAGCGATTTTTTGAAGGAAAGCCTGAAATGACAAAGTTTTCCAAGTTTCCCTGGTAATTGATGAGTTTTGCTGGAAGTTCTAGCCGGTATCTTCGCACAGATGAAAACCAACAAAATCCGACTTCAGTATTTATTAGAATAACACTTCTTGGACTTGGAAAGAATGGTGCTCGCCTCGCTCCATCCAGATTTGGAAAAATGGCAGCTTTTTTTAATTTTTTACGCAAAAGTGTGGATTTTCCGTTGACGGCAGTTCCTTTATAGAGTTTTGTGCTATTTTTCTGACCCCTCGTGCGATTTCAGCCCAGAAAACCTCGTTTTTTTTAATTGGTCTCACGTTTTTTAATTTTGCAAACCGTTTTCAAAAATCAGACTTTAGTGCGATTGAAGTGGAAATTTAAGCGCTGTCAACCACATGAGTCTTCTATAGGGTGTGAAAGTTTCGAGTTGCTACTTGCTCCAAATGGCAAGTTATGAGTTTTTAAAGGAAAGCGTGCAGTTGAGTAAAAGTGCGAATTTTTCGTCGCTCTTAATAGTCCAATCAAAGTAAAGCATTCACAAATCATGGCATATATTACGGATGGTTTAATTTGATTCTGATGGATCTGCTAAAATTATGCAGCGTCTCACAATAGATCAAGCTAAAAGGATTTTTACATTTCATGCCAATTGAGCAAACGATTAGTTGAAGAGGCGATGTTTGTTTATCTTTACCCGAGAAAGCAACAATCTAGAAAATCGTCAATAAGAAAAAAACTGTTGAAAGTCACCCAAAGGGCCACCGAGCAAACGATTCTATAATTATGTAAATTCTGTAGCTCGGTGCGCTTTTTATGTGATAAACACCTTGACTTCGCATTAGTTTATTGGAAACTACATTCAGTTCAGTCTATTATGGACGAGGAACTAAATCGGTCGTCGGTTCTTTGTTCATAAACGGGAAAAAAGGACCCATTTAGTGCCATTTAGGCACGAATGGTCGATCATCTTACCTGTTAATTGCTGAGTGTAATCCACATTTATTTTCAACTTTGTGTGGATTCTCATCGTGTGTTCGTGTAATGTGTGCTTTTTGAGTATTAATGAATAGACAATGGAGGATGGGGCGCCAGTTTGCAGAAAGCAGGTAAGAAGGGTTGAACTGATTTGAGTTTACGAGAAACATTTCACAACAAGTTTTATTCAGTTTCTTACTTACTTTTGTTTGCAATCAAATCATAGGGTTTTCGACTAAGTTTATGTAATAAAACAGATTTTTCTTTTCTGTTCCAGGTGGTACAATGCAGCTTTCGGTAAGTTTAGCATTACTTTTACCGTGAGTGATCCTGGCCAACCCATTTAGATTTTCGCTGTTTTTCCAATTTTTTTTAACAAGCATTCATACATATATGTATTATAATGCATAAGTATGCATTTCGCAGAGGTGATGTGAAAAACATGCTTGTTAAAAATTATATTACAGTTATTTTTGACTAAACGATTCGTATTAGGTATTTTCAGGGGCTGGGATCCGCCCGAATAAGTACATTTTTTATTACTTATTGCTATTTATTGCATTATTGGAGGATAGCACGTTAAAACGTTGCGTGTGATCCTGGCCAAACCATCTAGATTTCGGGCTGTTTTTTCCCAATTTGAAAATGTAAACACTTTCTTTTTTGCTAAACGATTCGTAGTAGGCATTTTAAGGGGCTGGGATCCGTCCGACTAATTGCATTATTTGGCATTGCATTTTCCCTGGTTGCCATTGCAACACGACAAATTTCGGACAGGACAAAAATAAAAAAAATCAACCTTTAATGAAAACTATTTAATTAAGGCAATGATTATGAATAATGATTTTTAACGACAATTTAATAGAGAAAGAGAGAAAAAAAAAAGGTAAAATATGGGTGTTCTACTGCGAACACTCTTTCAATTATTAGTCTTTTTCTGCTGTGAATTACACTCTAAATTCAACGATTATTGAACTCTAAGTAGGGACTAGTCAGATTTGCAATTTTCAACTTTTTTTGCTCAATTTTTCGACTTTAAACGGTCAGGTTTTCCACAGTAGAATCTTTTTCAGTAGTTAGGGGTGTTCTGCTTCAGAGCAAAGATATAAATTATTAGTGTTTTTTGCGGTAAATTTCATTGTTTGCTGTTTCGAAATTTAATAATATCACTCCAGACTAAGGTGCCTCAAGGTAAGTGAATACATTTTTTGTGATGGTCTAGCTACTTAAGAGGCTGCCAATGGTCCTGGCTTCCTAATTTCGATTTTGCGCTATTTTTACAAATTTCACTCACAGAAACAGTGATTTTTCAAAAATATTCGTGATAGGGATTTTCAGCGGCTAGGATCCGTCCGACCATTCCCGTTGTTTTGCTCTCCAGCACCCTTCAGAGTGTAAGTGGTCCAGATCAAGATTATAACCGGACTTGCGTCTGTTCTTCTAAATTTAAGCCAATAAATGGCGTTGGGTATTTTGGAAGAAAAATCTGAGTTTTAGGAAATTTCAGCGATCGGGATCCGGGCAGGGTTTCATTTTGTTGAAGTAGATGGCAACCAGGGTTGTAATTTATCTTTCTCTAATGTATCTTCTTTATATTTTTCTTTTTGTATTTCTCTTTCAGTTTAAATTAAACAATTACATGGAACGATAGGAAGCCCTTCGATAAGCAGGGATCTACAAAGCAGTTCAACAATTGCAAAAAGGTGATGTTACTAAATAAGCAAGAAATTTAAGTTCTAGCCTACATGAGAGCACATACAATGTAATACTTATCACAAATAAATAAAATTATTTTTGCCGAAAAGACATTTATAAAAAGAAATCGGAAATTACTCACTTTTTCGGTCCAAAAAGACATAAAATGCAAAGTTGATTCAGTCTGGGGAACTGTCGAGTTCCTGAATGGAAACGCTTTTCAAGTTCCGCATTATTCACTCCATTGGACTTGATTCAAATTGAGATTGTTACTTCTGTTCAAACAGCACCCGTGCCATTGTTTATATATCCCTTTATTGCTATATTTGGTGCTTTTTACAAGCCAGTCTTGGTCATTACCGGTTTTCGAAAAGCGGTAGGAAATATTTCTCCCTCAATCATATTTGTTGGTCAAACTCCCGAATCGTAAATAAAGACAAGCCCGGTGCATAGATGATGAGCAAAGTATTTCAGTGCTTATTTTCATAAAGATCTTAAATGGAAATAAGTGTGGATGCTCTTGCTAATAAGGTAAAAAGGCACTATATTTTAAGGTCAGTATGAAGAATTTAGTGGGAGTCAGATCCAGCCACCCTTCTGATGATATTTCCGGTTTTAGATACATCTCATTTAGATTTAGAATATTTATAGTTTCAGATTTATTTTTCATATTTTTTTATCCCATAATCCTAAAAGTCCAAAAGAAAATTGAATCTGGCGCCAAATTGAAAGCTTGGTCGCGCGGGCCGCAAAAACGCAGCAAATAGAGTGAGAGGCATAGAGAAAGTAAAATAATAATAATAAATAAATAAATAATAAAATAATAATAAATAATATTTTACTTACTCTATGGTGAGAGGTCTAAATAGTGAGTAGTCTGCACAGATCAGAGAAAAACCTCTGCGATCTGTGTTAGTCTGTGAGTAAACAACGTTGAAGGTTATGTAAGTTGTTGTCATTTGTTCTGTAAAGAATTTCCTGCTTTCGGTCACGTATGTATTGACTGTGATAAAAATGTACGTTCCTCAGCCTAATCATCACTTAATCCACGTACAAATACCCATTTTCAGGTTATCAATAAAACCGCTATCAAACCTAGCTTGGTCCTCTGGCCTGTTTCAACTATACCGCAGATGTTCGGACCTTTCCATAGTGAAAACCCAGTTGGAAGTGCCGACGTTTTGCGATATTCATGTGGATCTCGCCTGCAAGGTTCGCATCAAGCCCTTGAACGTGCACAAGTACCACAATTCCAATGCGTTCCTGTTACAAACTGACCAAAAATACGACAATGACATCGAACATTACATTGATGGGAATAAGGTGGTTGTTAAAGGCCACACAGGACTGAACCCCAACGCTCTATGCAGCATCAAGGCTCCTGTGAAGGCTAGTAAGTGGCTGAGAGAAGTTTCGCCATGTGAACAGTGAAAACCAATTTCTTATGTAGATTTGCATATCAAAGCGAAGAATGATGTCTCAGTGGGGTTCTTTCATGGTGATAAGCTCAACATTAATACCCAGGGGAATGTGGTGGTGGATAGATTCCAAGGGGACACAATCGACGTATCCACAAGCAATGGAAATATTGTTTTGCACAACTACATCCAAGCAGCAAATATTTCCGGAAAGACAAGCAATGGTGTAAGTTCGGGCATCCTTCCATTCCTCGCATTAAATGCATCTTAGTCTATGTTTTTATACTGCAGTCCATTTCCACTGGGAGGCTCCAGGGATTGAACCTGAAGCTGAAGGTGCTGGAAGAAGGAAACATGTCTGTGGAGTCCTCCTATTGCACTGAGAGTATTTTTGTGGTGGAAAAAGGCAACATGACACTTGACAATGTGCATAAAAACTGCAAAGTTTTCCTCATGAAAGGCCATCTGGCGCTCAGTAAGCCCCTAACCAGTCAGCGTTAACCAGCCGCTCATTAGCAATGTTTAATTTCAGCCGGTTTTGATGGGCAATTGTCCACAGTGATCAATTCAGGGTCTGCAGACATTCACCTGTCGCGCATCAGCGGCAGCTCAGATATCACATTGAAGGAGGTGGGGGACTTGATTCTGAAGCTCACCGATTCATGCAGAGAGTCCACTCTGTTTAAAATCATATCGCCGTCGATTTCCGTTGAGGGGCCTATTGGTTCAGAAGCAATAAAGGAGGAGAACCTCGTGATACTGAAGCCTGAAGGAAACAGTGATAGTGTCATGCTCGTGAACTGCTCAAAGTCTCCGGTCAAGGTCCAAGCGACGTCTTGGCAGGAAATGATCGAGATGAAGCTCAAAAATAAGTAACCAGTACTTACTTAAGGTTGTGTGATTTTTTTCGCTACTTGCTTGCCAGGGTTTTTCTAGTTTCTAAGCTTGAATGTACTCGCAGTTGTGATTTTTTTATATCAATCAGCAAATGTGGTTTGGATTATTTATTCTTCTCAACACCCCAATCCTAATCGACGGATAACAATTAACGCACAAGACCAATTGCTTTGGTTGTAAACTCCACCAACTCGCCCACATGGTGGCTCTCCAGGAAAGTGTCCAGTGATGCGTTGCGGTATTGAAGAGCCGCCTCATCCAGTTCATTGTAAATGTCCCTTACTATAGGCACTTTCCTCAGCAAGTCTGGAGCTGGGAGATTCACCATTTCTTCTATAGATTCTTCCGGAACGCCGGCTCGTAAAACGCTGCCTACGAAATTTTGCAGTTGAACTTTGCCGGTTTTTAACTACCAGTTTACTTGCCTGCTTCGGATAGCGCATCCTTGGGAATTCTCAAATTGGGCATCAGTTGTTCCACATAGGCAGACCCTTCGGTGGTGTTGAGGGACTTGACCATGTTCACCAGAAGCTGAGGAAGCGAAACATGGAACGGAACCAAGGGATTGAGCATATCCAGGGCGGATACAATGGTGGCCTTTGCTGAGCTGGATCTTTGCGTCAGAATCTTGACGAATGGAGCCACAACCACGCCATGAATTTTGTAGCTTACATCGCCGGACACTCCGCCCAAGAACTCCCGGTATTCCCGAAACTCTTCTCCATTCCCAAACCTGATGGTTTGCAAGATTGCGAAGACATTGGTAGATGTTTAAAACTGTAAAGGAAGACTTACTGAGTCTGTTGCTCGTTGGGGATTGTCAGCAACTCCTTGCAACTGTTCTTGACGGTGTCATGAGACACCCGGTCTCCTCTTATGAAGGTCAGAATCAGTTCGGTGAAGCCCTTGATGGCCGATCCGATCTTCCAAATGTTGAATGAGAACAGTCGCGAAACTATGCTGAAGATGCCCGTGATTCCCTTGACGACCAGACCACCTGAAATGGGGCGTCGTTGATGGGTAGTTTTTAAGGGGTTTGACCGATAAATTACCTAGACCAACTATAAATTTGGTTATTTCAGCGGCGGATGTTAGGACAAACTTCAAAACGTTCATCAAGTTGAGACTGCGAGCTATCGCTCTCAGTATGAAGAAGAACGCCTTGGCGCCGTCGGCAGCCTCTATTATTGCAGACAACGGGAGTCTGCGTTAATAAAATACAGGAGTTATTAAAGTGTCGAAGTTATTGAAGGACTTTGGAGTCTTACTGAACAGCCGCAATTGCTAACATTCCCACTCCGCCTGGGATGGCCGCGACCAGCTTGCCAATCCATTTGAAAATGTTGACCAATGCCAAAAAGCCCCCTTTGAAGACCACCCAACTGGTCGTTACCATATTTAACAGGGGGGCAAGAGTTACTTTCAAGGGATAGATTATAAAGCCGAAGAAGCGCAGCACTCCACTTATCAGGTCTCCTAAAAGAAACCCCCTTTATAATCTGTTTCGAAAATACTGCACCCCCACCTGCATCTTCTTGGATTTCCGCCAGGAAATCCGGAGCAAATCGCCGCAGCGAGTTGTGGATGAAAGCTCGGGCTTCGCCCCCCGATGCTACTTCGAACTGGAATTCTCTATCGTCGTTCTCATCCACCAGACCGTCAATGTCCACATCCTTCAGGTAGTCCTGCAGGCTTTCTTTATAAATCGACCAGCCGCTACTATCGGGGGGTTTAAAGTGAACATTTTTCTAGTTTTAAGGGCTTCAAGCAAACCTTTCCACTTCCACTCCAAAGCCTAGGCGTTTGTTGAGAACGACCCCTCTGCCAGTTTCTCCGTTCAGGATGAGAACGCGATCTCCTAAAGGGTCCAGGACAACACCAATTTGGGCACTGGAGTTGATTACGGCGATTTGTTTAGTGAAAACCTGAAAATTTTGGAATTTTTCGAATTTTCTCCCGGACTTTTCGCATTTGAAGCAAATCATCAAATTATATGTATTAAAAACATATTATTGAAGTCGTTTCGAGCAAACGATGTCAGATTATTATGGAAATTGAGGCATAACCTTGCAGATCTACGTCAGTTTTCTTGTCACTCACTTGTCAACGGACGCTGGTCGACCGCTCCATAAAAATTCGAAAAAATTCCATGATTTTTCGGGTTTCCTGCAGTATAGTGCTGATTTTCCACCAAACTAAGATTTCTTGCAGTGTTTTGTGCTATTTTCCCCACAGTTAGTGCAATTTTAGTCATGAAAACGCGATTTTTTTAATTTGTGTCTGACGTTTGCTGTCAAGACGGCTTGCTTGAATGGCATACACCGAAAGTGACGGTTTTTTAAGGGGCTTAAAGTGCGCGTTTTGGAGTTCCCAGGAGTTTTTGCAGTTTTTTGTTGACTCCCAGATTATAGTGCTGGATTATCTGTATTCGTTACTGGAAAACCGACTGGTGAGTGAGATTTTACTACATTGTTTCGCGTTTCAAGGCTTTGAAACCGCAGCTTTTGGCCCAATTTGACTCATTTTGGAGCCCTGAAACCGCAATTTGTTTTATACCATACAAGCAGGCGTGGCCGCAAAGCTTTCCCTGAAATAACTGGCTAAAAGTCTTAATATCATAATATATTCTCTAAATAATAGACCTGAGAGTGTTTAGGGGCTACAGGAAAGATAGTAAAAAATCGTTCTAATTAAAAACTTAGATATATGCAAAAAACTAGATCAGAAATTCGGCAACGCTCTTTTTCAAATTAATCTGCCTCATTAACATTTAGCCAGTTTTTTGTATTTGCCTTTTAATGACAACATCGATGTGGAAAGTATTCCTCAAAAACTAAACGGCTAAGCCGGCTAAACGCCAAATTTAGTCGGCTTGGAAGAAGAAATAACAAATATTAAATGCGATATAATCATCAAAAACAAATTTCAATTTTTCGAAGCCAAGACTTACCTCTGAAGTTTTATAAAGCAGTTCCTCACCCTCAATTGGGATTACAAAGTCATGGGCCTCACTTCTAACGAAAAATCCTAAAACCAACACTCTAGGTGACTGTTTTATGGCGCAAATGTCTTCTTACCTGCCCATAGACAAGCCATCGGCAAAATCGCTAACATTTTAAGACTTTTTGGGTTGATGGAAGTATTTCAAAAACTGGTTTGAATTGGGCGGTTGCAAGCTTTTATACCCAAAATCCTTGATTTTATTGCGCTTATTCAAAGTACGAATGCTCATTGTTTCAGTGCTAATGTTCTTTCCAATTGGTGGCGATTTTTCAAATAATTGAACATTAATAACTAGATTAGGAACTCATTGCAAAACAACAACGCAACTTGCATGTGTTTTATCATAAAATGAAAATTTTCTCTGAAATCGCTTCTAACGCAGCTGTTGACTAAAGCGTCTTTTTTTCGAAGAAAGCAATGATTAGATATGTATCCGATAAAAACACATCAAAATGTTTTAGTGATTAACGGTTATATTAAAACACCAATAATAAGTTATACAAAGCCTAAGTATACCGAAAGATTACGCGAATATTGAATATACAGGATATCCCGTAAGCACATGATCAAAAGGGTAGTGCGGTATTCTCTGGATCAAAAGAAGACGATCTGACCTAACTTTTATTAACAAAAAATGTCTGGTTCCTCTGCTATTGATGGTCAAAGTTCTTCAAAAAATCTATCTTTTTTGAAATATCGGGAGAATGGTAGCATGTATGTTGGTGAAACTCGCTGTGAATTTGTACTTATGTAAGGCTCATATTTTGATGAAACAACCGAGTGCAGCGGTTTTGGACAAGTGGTGAATTCTTGAGTCTCGTGGTACAAAAACTACCAAAACTTTTTATTTGGTGATGGAATCAACTCGTTTTTTTTTGTTGATGCACTAATCATTTATTCACAATTTTGTGCCCTTTCTAAAATCGTGTAGCATTCATAGTTTTTGCGCAAAAAAATAAGTCTGTTTTCTTGCTACTTAACAATGTTAGACATTAACTACAAATATGCGCTGCGTAAACGCGTACGCTTTCACGCAAGTTGTCTTCGCAAGACCCTAACACTTTGACCATGTCGGTGACTTCTTCATTAGAAAAGGTAATTCGAAACGAATTTGTGAGATTGATTGACAATTAATTTATGCCTCGTATCACGATATTTGCAGTTAATGGCTAAGATTGTTAAGTGACAAGAAAAGAGACATTTTTTCGCAAAAACTATGAATGCTACAAGATTTTACAGATAGCACAAAATTGTTAATAAATGATTAGTGCATCAACTAAAAAAATGAGTTGATTTCATCCACCTTTTAAAAAGTTCCGGTAGTTTTTGTGCGACACTCAATAATTCACCACTTGTGAGTCTTCCGTAAGAACAAATTCACAGCGAGTATCACTAAAATACATCGTACCATTCTCCCGATATTTCACAAAAGATCATTTTTCTGAAGAACTTTGACCATCAATAGCAGAGGAGCCAGACATTTTTCGTTCATACAAGTTAGGTCAGATCGTGTTCTTTTGATGCAAAGAATATTGCAGTATCCTTTTGATCATGTTCTTACGGGACACTCTGAATATATATAAAAACAGCCTACTCAAAGCAGTATAAAAATGGACCGAAACAACACAATTAACACAATAAGTATAAGTATAATATACAGAGTGTCTAGGATCCATCAACCAAAAATTTTATATTTTTAATGAATCACCCTGTATATCTCCACAAAAAGAGCGAATATTCATCCTGGACAGGCACTAGACACCCCGTATATTGGTCCTTGATGCCAATGGTTTTAAAACCAATACTCTTGACCAACAACAAATAAATAAACAATAATCAAATCCAGGCACTTAAAGGCCACATTTGGACAGTTTGCCTGGATCCATGGTGCGGTAGTTGATTGAATTTTTCTTGAGCGTGTTGTTTGCGCTTCGTTGTGGTAGCAAATTGAGAGGCGGCAAATTGGGGTGTTCGATTCGCGTGGGCGAAGACACTCTGGACTTCAGGATCGGAATGTGTCTGGCTAAAGACTGTTGGTTGAGTGCCAAGCTGGAACATCTCATATCGCTGTTGCCTGCAAGAAAATCCACGGGTTTGCAAAGCTCTCGGTTGATTTTACTGTTTGCCTACCAATGATTTGATACTGATGGTCGCCCACGTACTCGATGTCGCCCATTTGATAGTGTTCGATCAGTGGGGTTGGGTCATCGTAGTCAAACTCTGGAATTTAAAGAATATTCATTTTGTCTATCAGGAGGCTGGCAAAACTCCCACCTTTATGATACCCATAATAAGCTACATGGTTGCTGTTTTCATGCCGCCGCTGAGGCGGCAGATTGTCGATGGACTCATAGTGGTCCTCCGGAGGAGGTTCATAGCAGACCAAGTTTCTGGAAGTTTTCAGTTAAAGACCCGCAGGAAAAGTACAAATGTTCTTCCTACCGGGAATAGTTGTTTTCGGAAATGAAATGTTCGGTTCCCCTCGGTGTGATTGCCGCCCACACCATCCGGTTGTCTTGCAAGCGAGGAGTGGGCGTGTAGAAGCTGGTATTCATTGGGTGGCCCAGTTTGCTGTTCCCATTTGGCAGAGTGTTGCAATCTCTGGGTTCCAAGTGCTTTAGTGAACTGGTGTGCAATGAACAGTGCTCTGTATGACCGAATAGATGCATCCTACAAGAAGTTTATTCAGTAAGTTTCAAATAGGTTGGAACCATATCGAACACTTTTTTATTACTATATTAGGTGTAGCCGAGATTTTATTGTTGGCACACCTTGTAGGATATTATGTCCTAGCTAGATACTTACTCGCGACATTTGATCAAAAACATGGCCAATAAAGCGCCCAGCAGCAAAACGCCAATGGAAGAAGCAACGAGCACTAGAAGCCACGTATCGCCAATTCCCGAGACGTTCCATTTGGCTTCAGCTTCTGGAAATTGTTCGTTTCAGTCAATATTCGCGATGTAGAGCGATGTCTACCTTTGCTGGGCATCTCCATGTACTCGATCCTGTCCAGATTGCGAAAGTTACCTTTGTGATTGAGGAAAGCGGTGGCAGCATCACAAGACTGGGTAGCAAAGCAGTTGGTCGCATTGTAGCTGTCCAGATTCGGAAACAAGAATTGAGGAGCCGGAGGCGGTGGCATAAAGAGAATGGTGTCTGGAGGCGGCGACATGTCCAGACAGTCACTCACACAGGCCATGAAATCAGCCGCTAAAACTACCTTTGCGCTCAAACTCGCATAAATAAATAGCCAAAAATTTCCTTACAGAATTTTCCTGCTAAGGCTTTGTGTTGGATCGAAACACTTGTCACAGCCACTACGCGTAAAGTGAAAACCACCCCAATTGATTAGAGAGGGGGCGCAAGCGCCCCCAAAAGCGTCGCGACGCCACTCGATATCCCTCGCGTTTGTTTGGTCGGGCTCAGTTTCCTACCCTAGGTCATTGTTTGCGTACCCTCGAAGGTCAAGGAGGGATGTTTTTGTATTTTTATGTATGTATTTTAGTTGTTATTGAGCGACTTTTTTGAGAGTTTACTCAATGTAGTACTTTGACCAGTTCATAGTATTTAGACACCTAGGTAGAACCACGGCTGAGTGTACGGTGCATTTGCATCCAGGTCTTGGCCGAGTTTGTTCCTTTTGGCTATTTGTTTTTTTTTAAATATTCACCCTGCTGCATGGCAATTTGCAACAGAAATGCAAGTTCACCATTAAAGCTTCAGTAGGTACGTTTCGATTAATTTGCCAACCAGTATCAGATCAAACTGCCCAAAAATCACCATCAGAAAGACCTACTTTGTTAAAACATCTGTGAAGTGACACCAATGTCCCTTGGATAATTATGCAGGGTGATTCATTAAGAATGGGAAATCCGGAGATACTACACGTTAAATGGTGGTCATTAGTGCGGACCATAATTTTTTTCTACGCGGACTTCCTCCCCGTGTGACAATCACTTCTATAGGCTCTGAAAATTATCGCACAAAAAGGAGGAATTGGACTTTCAAAATCGATTCCTCACCTCAGGTGCCTCAAAGCATCTCAAGCTTCCCGATTATGTTATATGGGAAAAACCTGTTAATTTGTTTAACCTACTAAAGACTAAGACTAAATTTTCTCGAAAAATGAGCCAAAAAAGACATTCAATGGGCCTGTAACGGCCATAATCAATTCAATTGTGTTTTAAATATTTTTTTTCACGCATTTTCAGCTGCTGAGTTCCGGGGCGCCCTTATTTTTGTCCACGTGGCGATCAAAAAAGTTATAAGCAAAAACCGTCAAAAAACATAAAAAGTTAGTGGAAGAAAGCAGATAGTTTTCTAGTTTTCTTGCAACCTTGAAAGTCAATAAAAGAATCGGAATGTTCTCTGTGCTGAGTTGAATGGTGCCATCAGTTTTTGTGTGGGTGTGGGCCAAAAACTTACTAGCGAAAATCCTCAAAAATCGAAGGAATAGCTGGAAAGTATGTGCTTTTCATGTGAAAATATGCCCCAACCGTTCAAATTTTTATTTGCAAAAGCAACAGGTTAAAAAAAGTTAAAATACAGATGGCCATTCCATAAGCTGAAGTCACTCGGTTTGGTAACCAAACATTGCTTGCAATAATTGGAAAATTGATTACAAAGAACAGGAAAAGAGGAAAAGAACTTTGAAAACCGTCTAAGATGACAATAAAGAAAACGTTTTGTGACTTTGCAAGTTCTATAAAAATTGGGAAACACACCGACTAAAATCGAAGAAGCTTTTTGCGAGTAAAAAAATGCCAACTTGTTCATTGGAACATGACTGAAAAACGTGCTGATCGCCAGTAAAAAGCCCATATAAAAGTCATAAAGCACACACTAAAGGAAGATATAACGGGAATCGAACGAAACGATCTTTTTATTTGCGTTCTCGAACAATTCTTTCAGAATATCGTCGTTTGTGGTCAACAAATAATCAGATTAATCGAATCAAAATCACTTCGATTCCAGTAGAAAATCAAGAAAAATCTAATGAGACGCGAACGAAACAAACCGTTGATTTACGTCCGGGGAAAAATATTCCTGGAAATGGACGTTTGAAAAAATAACGCAGAGAGTTGATGAATTTTTGAGAGACCACAAAAATGGCAAAGGTGGACAATACGAATCTATTTGTAATTTCTTCTTCTTCTTATTCTTTGTAAAGACCCTTTGGTCTGTTTATTTCGTCTGGTCAATGTTGTTGATTCTCCTTGATATGGATGTCCTTGATATACAGGGTTGCTCATTAGTGCGTCAAAGTGCGATATCTCAGTAAATATGAA